TTATATATAGGTTACATTGTTCATTAAGAAGATTAATAAAGCAGCGGTAAGATGAAGGTTTTTGAAGTGTTGAATAGCATAATATAAAACAATTACCTCCAAGTGAACACAATATGTTTGTATATTTTAAATGACGTGTCTGAAAGAACTACACATAAAGTGTAAAAAGTTAAAGTTAATATCATGCACACACAGTAAAGAAATACAATTGAAGTTTACTAACATTATAGATTTATAGTGTGTAGGTTTTCAATACTCATATTAAAGACATTTTCGAGTTAGGAAAACGAAGGTTATAAACGTGTAATATAAACAAACATTCCTCTTAGATGTCAAGAATGTGGTTCTTGAGTATAACTAGTGACAAGTGTTATCTCAAGATCAGACTTGCTATGGACAGAATACTGAAAGAAGTATAAAATAGCTGGAATATAGCTTTTATAATTCACATATATAATAGTATCTTGGTTTCAAGGAAGTGAGCCAAGAGAATAACTGGTGAGGATAGAAAACTCCATGGAAGAGCCACCTGAAATGTAAGGAAGTAAGAATGTTGTAGAAGTAAAGATAAAGAAAAGATCAATGAATATATTGTGTACACAATTGGTCATTAAAATGACCAGTTCTTTAACATCCCAGAAAGTTATCTACTGTAGAGAATCTGATGGTTATAATATTAACCTTTTTATTGGTATGTTGTATCCATGTTCTTCCCGACAGAGTTAAATAAAGCTTTACTCCAATTTAGTTTCTCAAAATGTCACTGTTACAGCTTCATTAGGACATGATGTAATTGACGTATCAAGTGGTTTCTCTATTAAGCCTACGTATCTAAGAGAAAACAAGTTTTACTTTATAAAGTATAGTCATGTGTAATTATTTGAATATGACAAAAACTCTTTAGTATGCATTATAAATACTCTACTTCTAACTGGTTTAAACTCAAAGTTCAGCCTCGAACATCGGTGTCTGTTTAGATATATTAACTTACACAATATATTTGTTAAAGTCTAGACTTAATAAAGTAACAAAGTTGTTCAATAATATAAGTCTATTTGATCAATGATAACGCAGAAGTTTTATAATTTTTAGGGTTAAGATACTTTTCTGAAAAGAATGGAATACTTTAGATAATTTTAGACTGTTTTTTAAAACCATAACTTATTTTCATAGAAATAGCTACCAATAAGTTAAAGATATGATGAATTAATTTGTGAGATGCTCATAGAAATTAACATAGTTCTATATATTTTGTTATAAGACAATTGTTGACACTTCTATTAAAAATTCTTACTAATCCTTGTATTATCAAGGATACATGTTTCATACCATCTTATTTAATATAAATTACTTCAAAACTCTACACATTTTCTATGCTGACTTAATCCAAAGTATCATTCAAGCTATTCACTGAGTTCTTCTCACCCTAGTTACTTTCTAAATCGGGTCATTCAACTAGGGTATCACTGTGTGTTCCTGCTGAACATATTTCTGTAAGGAAACATATACTGTATAAACACTGACATCGAATATTTTACTCTAGTAAGTCATGGATATAATATCCCTTTTTTGTACTAAGAGTAATCGTCAGTTACGTGGTAAGCAACTCCACCCAGAGTATAATGACGCTGCTTTTCTTTGGAAATAATGACATATTTCCTCAGCCTGGGACAGTATGACTAGGTACTGCTAGAGGTTGATTTGTTGATATTTAACTCTCAAGTAAAAGTGCCAAACGAATACATTTGTTTGTGTCTATCGATTTTTGACTGTTTGAGATAAAGATTGTTTCACTGTATCTAACTTGTGTCCAGCTTTCAACACAATCCGAAAGGGGAACTGTCAGGATCTGGTACATTCAGAATAGCTAAATAGGTTTACTTCAGTGCAAAGAAAGTCAAATGTCTGTCAGATCGTCATGGTGATGTGCAGTCTGGAAAGTACAAGACTGGATGGGACGGTGTCTTCCAGACACGTAGTGACCAGAGTTGTCCAACCCTGGGTTTGATCTATCCCCATGGCTGGTCAAGAAAGACAGGAGATGTTTTGCCAGCAAGTGAGATAGTGAGCACGGACTGGTGAAGGTGGTCATTTATGGTGCAGCAGGGAGTCTTTCTGTTATGGGACATAAGCTGCTATGGTGACCACGGATCATAGAAAATCTGAGGGTCATCCAGAGCTGATGGATGAGCTACCTCCCAAGAGCAGGAACCTAACCCTATTCCCAGTGAAGGAATATATCTATAAATCTACTCCATCACAACTCCTAATGTTAAGGACATCTCAGGCTGCTGATGACATAGAGTCCAGGAGAGAGTAATTTACTGTTTCTTCAAAGGCTAGGCAGATTTTTCTCCAATGTCCGAAATCTATGAAAGGTCTGAAAACTTCCTTAAAATATTTAAAACGGTTCTTTGTTTGCAATAAATGGATTAATGACAGAAACTGCAATGCCAGTTTTGTGCATTCATTATGAAGCTTGATTCTCACATGAAAGTTACATCCTTTCTAAGGAGAACAAGGATAAATCTAACAACATTCATGCCCGAAAAAAAAAGACAGTAGAAACAGTTTCTAGCTGGCAGAGACATACGCTACGAAGACTTCCTCTGTATGTTACTGTTATTATAATCTGATTACTCTAATGGAAATCAGGGAAACTACTTTAACTACAGTATTAATTAATAGGTGTAAGTGATATATACAGAAAATGATTGTACTGAATTGAATTGAGAATTTAGATTAAAGCCTACAATTTTTTGTATAGTTACCATTCTGGGATATCTTTAACATATTATTGTATATATATATATATAAAAAGACCTACTTATTATTGAAATAATAATGCAACAAAAGAAAACAATAGACATTGTAAAGGTACAATGTTACAGGTAAATAGATAAGTGTCATTTCTCCCCAGTTACATAAGTAGGAGAGACAGCAATAAGACTTGGGTAATTTAAACAAAACTACAGGATACAATAGACATAGATGAGTTAAAACATAGCAGGAAGTTTAACTTGTTAACACTGAATTATAGGCTTATGTAACTAAGTAAATAATCATTCTAAGGATCTCTTTCTGGATTTCAGGTTTTGTATATTTTGACAGCAACTGTTAACGTCA